TGAGAGCCGCTCCCCGCCCCACCTCGCCTCTGGGGTATGACAGCCCCGTGGGAGCATGGTCTGGCCCCTGCCGCCAGGCCGGGCCTCCCTCCAGAAACGTCACGGTGAGGGGAGGCTGGCAGCCAAAACGTGGGGCTGCAGCCCCAAGGGGCCTGTGGGGCCGGCAGCAGCAAGTGGCGCCGGGAGCTCCAGCAGGCTTCTCACAACCCAGTGAGAGCTGGGGGCGTGCAGCCTCTGTATTACGCATTTTAGTAACACTGTTGTCTGTTTGTATGCCCCTTCTCTAGCAGTGGTTTTGTACATTCCTGGTCCATTGACTTACAAGCAGTTAATTCTGACGTCTGCTGATGCGAGAGAAGCGGAGGCGTCCTGTACCCTGTTGGCAGTACCCTGCCAGGGCTCCCTCGTGCTCAGTCCCCGGGGAGGGGCTGTCAGCACAGGAGCTCATCTAGAGAAAGCCACTTTAGTTAGTGGGAATAAGAAGCCTACCACTAAACTTTATTTTATTTGGGAGGAGCATCTGGGAGGCTTCCAGAAGTTGCACAACCAGCCATCACATATGCCTCTTTGCTGAGGTGGTCAAAGTAGAGTCCAAAACTAAGTGAAGTCCCTTGTCTGCTTTTCCCTTTACTGTGAACAGGGGTGCTAGCAGAGGAGAAACTCATGAGATTTGTGTTGGCGCCTTATATTGTTGATGTTTCTGTTTTGATGCAGTAGTTGGGCATTTAGTACATTGAAAAGTTGCTGAGTAATGTGAAAAGCTTAAGGACCCACTCCAGTGAATTTTATTCCTTTCTACAGTGGGAGTAAGGCTGAGGTGCAGATTGGGCCCCCGTTAAGTTAATGTCAGTTTCTGATGGTTTCCAGGTGTGGTATTTAATTTCTGGGACCTGAGGAGTTATCCAATCCCTCACTTCTCTTGGTCAGACTTTGGCCTGCTATGTTGGGGGGTTTTCTTTTTGTGATCCTGAAACTCAGGTTGTTAGAAGTACAGTAAGTCACAAGGGCAGTGTTGCTAGAAACCCAGATGAATTCACTGATCACTCGTGGAAATGAGGTTCCCTTGGTATTTTTTTTTCTCCATTAGTGGTTGTGTATTGCCAAGCAGTAGAAGAAAAGAGAATGAAAGGGTCTTCTCATCTTTAACATAGCTTGTATTGCCAGGTAGTCAGAAGAGAAGGATGGTATTGAATACTCAAGCAATAATTTTGATTCTAATGAATCCTTGTCAAACAATCAAGTTCCTTGTCCTTCATGTAGGTTATGTTCTAGTCCTTGAAATTAAAAGTTTAACATGCATAATTGTAGCATATCATACATTTCTGTAATGCATAATAGTTAGCAATACCAACATCTTAATGGCCTATCTTTAGATTTGTAACACTACTTTCCTGTTTTGTTTTTCAGAGAATGCAGATGGTAAATATATTTCCCCATTTCACGACATTCCACTGTTTGCTGGATCTAAAGAGGTATGTATTTATGCCTTGAAACACAATTAATTTCAAAATTATAACAATTTTGCTGTTATACTTCAGGTAAAAATGCAGCTTTTTTAAACCATTTTTTTAAGCAACTAACAGACAAATGTATAGCACCAGAAAGGACCATTTTAACCCAGGCTGATTCCTTATGTAATATAGGCACAATAACTGCCAAATTTCCTCTGCTGAGATTAGTAATTTGCAGTGATACATAATGACGGCTGTGTAGACAAGCCTAGGTATCTCCTTATGTCTCCAAGTGATTGAGGGTGGGGGGAACCCTTGCTGTATCTTGCTCTCCTCTGTGTTTAAGGTTTGTGTTTATGTGCTCTTGAATTAATTTTCTACTATTACTCCTTTTAAAGTGGCTTTTTTCCATATCTGCAATTAAAGGTGTACATTTCCTTGCAGTAGGAGATGTACAGCACGTTCTTATGTAACTTAGGGTGTATTTCTTTAATTCCCAAAAGGATCATTATAATCGGAAGCCAACAATAATGCCCAAGAGAGAAGTGGTAATCGCACCTTTGGAGAATTACAAGGCGTGAGGTGCAGCTGAGCACTTTCACGTCTTGTTAGCCACACTCCCTGGGGTTTCATTATAGCAATAATGAAACGCCTGTTTTATGTGTCACCAGTGGGAACAGCCAGTCTTTGGTTTAGACTTAGGTTTGCTTATTATGGTATGCTTGTTACACAAACAGGTTGGAAGGGTTTCGTCCGTTTTGTTGGTTTGTTGCTGGGTCTCTATGGATGATATGAATGGTGAGCAGTTGTAACGTGCTCAGATTGAGACTTCTGAACTAATGAACCAATCTCTTCAGTTATTTAAAACGAGAGAAGTGATCATCCCCCTGTACTTGGTGCTGGTGACACCGCACCTTGAATACTGTGTTCAGTTTTGGGCCCCTCACTACAAGAAAGATGTTGCCTTGCTGGAGCATGTCCAGAGGAGAGCAACAAAGCTGGTGAGGGGTCTAGAGCACAAGTCTCATGAGGAGTGGCTGAGGGAACTGAGGTTGTTTAGTCTGGAGAAGAGGAGGCTGAGGGGAGACCTTCTCGCCCTCTACAACTGCCTGAAAGGAGGCTGTAGTGAGGTGGGGGTCGGCCTCTTCTCCCTGGTAACAGATGATAGGACAAGGGGGAATGGTTTGAAGTTGTGCCAGGGCAGGTTTAGGCTAGACGTTAGGAAAAACTTCTTCACCGAAAGGGTTGTCAGGCTCTGGAATGGGCTGCCCAGGGAGGGTGGTAGAGTCCTCATCCCTGGAGGTATTTAAAAGAAGGATAGATGAGGTGCTTAGGGACATGGTTGAGTGGTGGGATGGCAGGGTTAGGTTAAAGGTTGGACTTGATGATCTCAAAGTTCTTTTCCAACCAAAGTGATTCTATGATTCTATGAAAAATATGCATGAAACCTTTTTGATCAGCAGAGCCTAAGTGTGCTAGTCAATGGAAGAGGTGAATCTTTTTCAGAGAGTCATTACTAAGATGCTCTGTTCAGTGGGTGGTATTGCTGGAAAAGCAACAGGCATTTTCATCACACATTGCCTGGGAGCCTTCCTGTCCCTGCACCTAGAGTTTAAGGCTTGCAGGGGTGGATTACAGTCTGTGATTTTTCGGTCAATTGAATTATAGTACAGCGATGTCTGACCAATGTGGAGAGGTTTTCATTTTGGTGTGTGAGCAAGGAAGGGAGGAACATTCCATAGGATACAGGAGCCCAAGGGGGGAGTGAGAAAGGGAATCACCATGAAGGTGTCTGTTAATTTTGCCTTCTTTGCAAGAGAAAGGCATAAAGAGTTGTATGTTACATTCTTTCCCTCCCCTGGTCTAAGCTGTGTGGACTTTGTTTTATGACTGATAACTCCAGCCTTATTTTCCATACTGGTTTTGTTTGATGGTTTGTTTTTTATCTTTTTCAACTGAAGAGAAAGATGAGACTCTGTTTTTAGTCAGTTGAGGACAGGCCTAAGCTGCTGCTTAAATTTTTTAGTAGCTGGGAGAAAGCGGATGTATCCTTGTACATTTTTACCTTCCTCTGTTAACATCTGGAAGGTTGTAATTTCACAATGAAACAGGACTTAGTACTTTTTAAAGTTATAGTTTAGGCCTTAATGCTCACAAAGGGATGTTTCAGTTGCACTGAAAACTACTGTTGTCTGTATTTATATAAGTATTTTTTAGGATAAAGAGATTCCTGCAAAGAGGTCAAAGACTACTGGAAGTGAGGTACTGCTAAGCTTTTTTTTTTCCCTATTCCCTCTATTTCTCTGTTTCCTTTCCAACATCACTTTGCTATTCTGCAAAGTGAACTTGCTCTTACTGAATATAGTTGACGTCTTCAAATGCAAGTCTTCTAGGAAGAGAAAGCTTAAAGGGATTTAATATTCTCCTCTTTGAACGGGCCAGAAATGTCAGCATTCTTTTATTCATCAAGATGTTCTCAAGGGCAAACACTTTTATACCCCTCTTTGAAAGGTTCATTATGACTACTGCAGCGTAGATATGTTATCTTTTTTGCTATTGCATTCAGAAACATTTTCAAAAAACCCTCTGTTAATGAAATATTCATTATGCTCTGACTGTGGGTAATCTTTGGCATATATACAAAACTTCAGAAATCCTAAGTATGTTAGGGCAGAAATTAGACTTAGTATCTGCTTTTTAGGACTATACTCATCTGGGAAGCCCAAGGAGAGAAAAATCACATCTGCTAATGGTTCAGGATTAACCAGCACTGAAGTGAAGCCTAACAGAAACCCCCAAACCCATGGAATGTCTGCTGAGGCTTTTTCTGTGAAACAAGATTTGTTTATGTGTCTTTTCAAAAATGTAGCATTTTTTACAGTGCTTTCCCTGGCATAGGAGTACCTAAAAATTAGTGGGAGAAAGTGAAAGAAAAAAATGAAACAAAATATGCTTTAAGGCCATGATGTGTCTGTGTGTCCCCCAGTCTTTATCTTCTCAATATCTGTTTGGCCAGTCATACTGCAAAACTGTAACTACCCATCCAATGTGAAAGAACTGACCTAACTGTCTGGGCTCTCATAGTTTTGCAACTAGCATGTGGTACACCGCTTCTTCTACTGTATGCCAGCCCCCACACAATCCTGTACTATGTATTTCCCCTCCCTTTGCCCTGTGATTCACTCAAGCTACAATGCCTAGGTAACGCTTTTTAGATTTCCTGTTGCTTGATGCCCATTTAAGTACTATTTAGTAGATGTAGACTCATGCCTGAAAGCAGAATTGTTGAGGAGAAAGAGTATGTGCCGGTAGCCTTTCTCAAAAATCATTGTCTTGCAACGTGAATTCTTAATTACTGTTCTTGCTTGGAAGTAAAGTATTCTGTTTCTTACCTGCTTATGAATATTGTGACAATACCTGCCGATTGCAAAGATGCAAAGCCTGTTTTATGCAGTGTCTAAAACTGTTCAAAACTGTATTTGTCTGTGTAGTGGGAAGCATGATAGGTTGTTGAAAATCACGTTTCTAGTACCTTTTTTCTGCTCTCTGGATCAGCCTGTGGAGTGGTGGGAAAAAATGCTGGTGAGGCTGAGCAGCTCTTGCTTCCTGGGCCAGTGTAGACTCCAGAGCTGCTTCACATAACTCCTGCTATGAGAGTGCTCTGGACTGTGGTTTAATAGAACTATGGAAAATGAGCAAAGGCAAATATATGTTCCAGTCATCGTGGGTTTCTGATGCGAGTAAGCAAACAAACGTGCAGGCTATAGGCTTCCCAAACATGCTTGGTCTTTACTTAGATGGTGAAATGCGAGAATGCAAATAATTTAGAAATTTTTATCATCATTTTGGTAGTTGGGGAGAAGAGAGAAAATAAAGGGATCTTTGTGTTCAGGAAAGCGGTTTCTTCTTACACTGGGCAGCAGCTCTCCTCACCTTGGCCTGGTGAGAAATGCATCCCTGTGCTTGTATTTAGGGAAAACACAACTTAATCAGGGGATGAAGGGAAAATGAGGAATTTAATGCCATGTACTGATTTCTAGAGACCTTTGAAGCACTGTACTCCTGACTCTTGTTCTAGGGATGCAAAGGCTACTATTAACACCTGGTGTTCAGCTGATCCTTGCACTGAATTTGGCCAGAATTCTCTTGCCCTGGAAATGCAGTGGCATCTTTAAAACTTGTGCTTTTAGGGTGGCGGTTGTTTGTTAACTCTCCACAAGGGCAAGCCCTCTGAAGAGCATGTGTTAAATTATGCTGAACTGGTATTCATCAGATGTCAGTTTAGCTAACAGAAAATGACGATAAGTCTGCCAGAGTCTCTTCAA